GTCAAGCATTGGAATAGGCTGCCCAGGGAAGTGGTTGAGTCCCCATCCCTGGAGGTATTTAAAAGACACGTAGATGTGGCACTTAAGGACATGGTTTAGTGGTGGACTCGGTAGTGTTAGGTTAATGATTGGACTTGATGATCTTAAGGGTCTTTTCCAACCTAAATGATTCTATGATTCTATAAACACTGCCCCACAGAGTATAGTCAAAAGAGAATATGAGCACTCAAAAGTCTTTAAACTTTTTAAACTTGGTTTCTGATTTTTTTTAAAGTTGTTTTTCTTTTCTCTTCCTACACTAGTTTAACCTGCACTGTTTTTTAAACAAGTTCATCATTAAGTGTCTTTTATAAATTCATAAAACAGGATTAATATTTTCCATTTTGTTCTTCTACTCTATGAAAACAAAGAAAAGAAAGTGAGAGAATGTTTTAAAGTTTTATGTCTATGCTATTCTTACATGGGCATTTTTGCTATCAAAGATGAGGTTAAAGAACTGCATCCATACTTTTGGAACAGAAAACAATAGTTCTGAGATACTGGTGGAACCCAGTTCAGCTCTTCCACAGCTCATAGTAAATTATCTCCTGCACAAATTAATTAAATCTGATTGTTCTATTTGCCATTTATTCTCCTCTCCTAAGACCTTCATATAATCTTTTAGGAATCCTGGTATCTACTACTGAGTCTGAGATCTTGTGGGAGATGAGGAGAGATGGGAAAAGGGCAAGAGCAGGGTAATAAAAAGACATTGTGAAAATACAGAATGTGCCATTCAGGACATGTGTCACAGCATCCTTTGCGAGAGAGTTTTTTCAAGTATTGACTGCTCTGTGCCAATGCATGCTTAACTGCTGCAGCCCAGACAGGACATGAAAAAGGTGTTAACTACTTGTAGCCAGGTTGGGTGGCTTTTTGTTTGTCTAACATCATTTTTTAAGAAACAAAGATGTTCTAGGTAGCAAAAGATGTTAGGAAACATCATTCATCAACATAGTTCTCAGCATTGGAGAACCATCAGCATCCCTGTACAGCATGTACATTCCATGCATGTACATCCCATGTACAGCATCCTTGTACAATGATGGAGAAAAAAAAGCAATTGTGATCAGCCATATGATTTTTTTTATGTTTATCTTTCAGGATCATTTTTTAAAGTCAAACTAATGGATTTATTTCTCTTGCTTCCTCTTGTTTCTTTCAAGCAAGACAGAAGTCTTTGCTCAACTAGGAAATGTTCAAGAAAGCCCAGGAATATGAGGACAAATTTCTGACCCAAATAAAAACAATTCATTATAAATATGTTTCCATTCCATCTTCTGATTTAAATTATTCTGGCCCTACACTAAAGCTCTTTTTTAAACCAGATTAACAAAGTACTTCTATAAATTGTGACTTCCTCAAGGATCCATTCCTTTATGGTTGTGTTTTTTGTTTGTTTGGGTGGGGTGGGTGTTTAAGCTTTAAAACTCTTTTTGGCACAACTGTCAATAAAGCATATTGTTTCTTCTGTAAGAAACCAAGTAAGCTCATTTTAAGAAAAGAAATTGCATATCAAGCTTCCATATTTTCAACCTAAATATATATATAAAAAAAATACATGTACACACAAAATAGATTAAACACACACAGTGCTCCTGGGGAACAATTCTTCCAACTACTTCAAACCTTACTTGAGTCTTTGGTAGTTTTTCCTAAGATGCTCAGTAGAAGTGGAAGAACGTAAGCAAGATAAAGAATAGCAAAGTCCAGTACAAAGGCAGAGTACTATACTGCCTGAAAAAAATAGCTTCAGTAGCTGTATATGCCTATTTCTCTAGGATGAACTTGAAAATGCAACTACCACAGCTTCAAACATCTCACGTCCATAGGTATACAGTACAGTAACCACCACAGATTAACTATGTCTTATTGTGTATCTGAGAAAAGAACTACAGATAGCATCAACCTCTATGGATAAAGCAATAAGGCTAGAAGCATTCCTTCATCTGATTATTCCAGCGATGGCAATTTGCCTCATTTCTCAAATGACAGAAAATCTCCCATCCTTGATTTACAGATGCTTAAACACACTATACAATAAAGTTAAATCATTAGATGAAACATAATAATATGGTTCTTATACCCTTACATTCATTATTTGATATTTTTTTCCCAAATCTTGTCCAGTTTGATCTTTATCAAAGGAAAATTAGCAGGATTTTTCTAGCCCACTCAAGATTCTCAGTAGTAAGAGATTAAAATCAAACCAAGTCTCAGCACTACCCCTCCTTCTCTTTTGAATTATCAGCTATAATTTCTTCTCACATGATAAAGTAAGGTAAGGTATTAGAGACTATGTGAAACAAAAACTGCTGATGGAGAAAACTTGGAGTCAGCACAGCTGACTGGCATAGCTGATAAGACCATATATAGTTAGATTTTACCTTTCTGACTAATCGAAGTGCTTGTGTTCTTTCTACTTCATTACTCTGCTGTATGTCAATACACCTAAAAGAAGTTAAAAAACACGTTTTGTTTATAACAGTTAAGGTGAAAGTGGTGTTAACATCTTGCATTAATATTTATGCAATTGAACAAAACAGAAGAATATTATGACTGATTGTTTAAAAATTTTGCTTTTCAGCAAGCATACTCATTATGATTGGTCAATTAGCTTCATTTTATTTTTTTTCCAGTTATCTTCATTATAATTAAATCACTAGAACGTTCTCAAACATACAGTGACAAGGCATAATGGCTTCAACGAATATTTTCTGAGCTAGCTACATTTGTCATTTCAAAAGAAACTAAACAAAGTATTTGCAATGTTTCACATCAACATGTTTTGTGTGTGTTCTCAGATCAGAAAAGTCCTTTTGCTCCAACAAAATTAAACAGCACACTAAAATTTACTATGTCTGTATATTTATAAACAGAAACACACACATATATATCAGTTTATTAAATCTAACAAGATTTTAACAAAGGAAGCACTAGAAATTATAATATTTAGATCTACTCATGATGCTGATCTTATTATTAGTTTGCCCTTTGGTATTTTTCTGTTCTGTCATGGGTTATACTTAAGATTACAAATTCTTGGGCATGAACTATTTTTTTCCCCTGACTTTGTACTAGAGGCTCCGAAGCACTATGATAATACAAAGAATCAGAACAACTCCCATAAAACAACTTAAGACATGAAAATTACTCAGGTTTCAACCTTCTAATAACACCACAGACTAATTTAGGATTAATGGCATTTACGATTCAAAAAATCTATAATTTGTCTAATTTTTTAATTACTCATAGTATATCATATATTAGGACAGCATTTTATTTGGATTAGCTGGTGTGATGTATTATCCCTCTATTTTTAAAGAGGGACATTATTCATATTGAAGAAAAATTACTTGTATAAAGCTACATATAAAGAATGTAAGAGGATATAAAAACACCTTTTCTCACCTGTCTCAACCATGAAAAAACAAGTGATTTACAATTGCATAATTTACAACAAGGAAGGAAGGGAAAATTACCTGGCTATCAAGTAATCCACTTTCAACTTTAGCACCTTCTGGAGAATACTGGAGTCTCGAATGAGATATCGGAGGGCTCGCAATCCTGCTGCTCGCACCTCTTTTGCTTCATTTAGTAAAGCTAACCGCAGACTACAATGAAGAAAACAAGGGAAACAAACAATTATTTAGCAGCAGGTAGACTTACAGAATCATAGAATGCTTTGGGTTGGAAGGGACCTTTAAAGGTCACCTAGTCCATCCCCCCTGCAATTGGCAGGGACATCTACAACTAGATCAGGTTGCTCAGAGCCCCATCCAGCCTGACCTTGAATGTTTCCAGGGATGGGGCATCTACCACCTCTCTGGGCAACCCGTTCCAGTGTTTCACCACCCTCATCGTAAAAATTTTTTTCCTTATATCTAGTCTGAATCTACCCTCTTTTAGTTTAAAACCATTACCCCTTGCCCTATCGCTACAGGCCCTGCTAAAAAGTCTGTCCCCATCTTTCTTATAAGCCCCCTTTAAGTATTGAAAGGCCGCAATAAGGTCTCCCCGCAGCCTTCTCTTCTCCAGGCTGGTGGGGTCTCACCAGAGCAGAGGAGAGGGGCAGAATCACCTCCCTCGACCTGCTGGCCACACTTCTTTTGATGCAGCCCAGGATACGGTTGGCTTTCTGGGCTGCAAGAGCACATTGCCGGCTCATGTCCAGCTTTTTGTCTATCAGTACCCCCAAGTCCTTCTCAGCAGAGCTGCTCTCAATCCCTTCATCCCCCAGCCTGTACTGATACTGGGGGTTGCCCCAACCCAGGCACAGGACCTTACACGTGGCCTTTTTGAACCTCATGAGGTTCACACAGGCCCATTTCTCCAGCCTGTCCAGGTCCCTCTGGATAGCATCCAAAATGGATGTGTCACTATCTTTAAATAGTGAGAATGCAATGAAAATATATAGCTAGCCAGAAAGACATAGCCCTGTATGACATAAAGGCCATAAAAATCCATAAAGGTCCAATGAAAGCAATGACATATAGAAGTGTACAAGGCTGAACAAAACCCTTCTCCATTAAAAACAAGAACTAAACAAAAAAAAACCCACCAGTCAATGACTGAACTGCAAAAAACTGAGAGCATGTATCATGAGCAAAAAGAGAAACCTGACCTTATAAAGCCAATTAAGATATGCTACAGCAGGCAGAAAAAAAATATGTAGGAAAACCTACATACGCGTGTCTGTATGTGTCTGTGTGTTCTGACTTCTCAGCTGTACCACAAGCATAAAACTTGAAAAATTAATCAGACCTACTGGATAACCCAAAAGGAAAGGGAGAAGGAATGAAGTAAATAAGAGAAAATAAGCACTTTCTTTGTACTAAGTCATTGCTTTAGAGGTCTGCATGAAGATTCCTATCCTGAAGTCTTTTTTATTATACTAAATATGAGTTAGACTAAGAAGTGAAAATGACGGAAGAACTGGAGGAAAGTAAGTATTGTCACTGGCCCATCAAGCTTCGCATCTAAGTGTTTGGAAAGAACATTAACATGAACAATCTGCATATATTTGCTAGCACCGTATTATGAATGGTAGCGGCCAAGATGGAGAAAAGGTGATCAACAGGTCTATACAAAAAGGATTCCAAAGCGCATCCAGAAGACTGTTTATCATCTTAAAAACCACCTTAAAATAAAACTGGCACCCAGAAGAGTTTACACAAACTGTATTCTGCTAATCTTTTGAAAGACTTGAAAGGAGTTATTACAATAGTGTATAAAAAGGCATAAGGTGCTGTTGAAGATTGTATTAATGGATATAAAGAGGTTATAGGGTGATGAAAAGTAGTTTCACAAATCAAAATCTGAAAAGATGAATTCAAAGAGTGGAGGTGAATGGAAGATTTTTATCCTGACAAATTTTTGTCCTGATTTTTATCCAGTTAAGTACTAGGTTCACAATCTCCTTTTGTAGACACTATTCAATATACAATTCATGATTTGGAGAAAGGAAGGGGGGGAAGAAATACAGAGGGCAACGTTGTTTATATTAATGAGAATAGGATGTTGTTATGAGAAACTTCAAGGGGACTTAAAAAGTATCTGTATGCATAGTTAACAAGATGGTGAAGAAAATTCAAGATTATTAGATACGAGTTAATGCACATCAAGACAAAAAAGTGTTATAAACCCATACTACATGATTCTAAAATAGCCATTGGATCAAGAAAATTATTTTGATATGCGCACTCCACGTGCACCTGTGGCTGTATGCTTGAGCTTGAAAATTATCACTATAGCAGAATAATCTACATATATGTATAAAAATTTTGCTTCTGATGTACATACACAGAGGAATCACTGGACTGACCAAAGTAACGTCACTAACCAAGATAATTGTCCTGCTATGTGTCTTTAATTTTTTGAGAAACCATTTTTGGCATTTTTTTAAGTAGGGGGCTATTTTTCTTCATGTGTCTGCTGAAAACAACATTTTTATCTGTTCCTTATTAATATCCTTAATTGTGTTTGGATTAGCAGATCTTTTTGCAAACTTTTTCCTATAAAAACAAACAATAGTATTTGCATAACACTTTTAAGACTTGTATTTAAAAACATTTTGTAAAGAACTCTGAATTTTGAAGTTATACTTTCAAGTGATGTTTAGTCCCATCATAAAACACTATAATAGATTACATAAACAAGATCAGAAGATGATAACCTATTAAAGCTCACAGCAAAATACGGATTCACAAAAACACTTATTAGCATTTTCTAGCTCTAGCAAGGAAAATCAGTTCTATTTAAGAAAACAACTTACAATATTTCCACAAGAAAAGGTACACAAGTTTTCCCAAAATTTTACTTAAAGTGACTAGCTTTTTCTAAGCTTGCTTTCTTAAGTCAGATAACTAAATTGAAAGAACACTAAATCATATTAAATACTAGATCTTAGTTGTTTCTGCCACCAATGCTGAGACTCAGGACAAATTTACCAACGCCTGTGCAAAAACACAGAAGTTCTGGAAATAAGCATGTAGTTACTTTTGACTCTCAGAAACAGCAACAAAATATAGGAAAATTCCCCTTGAAAGTACATACACAGGGTGTTTTAATAGCAAGGAAAGCGATACTACAAAGATATATATTCACACCAAATTAACATAAAATGTTTATCTTTAAATCCTGGTTCTACATCAAGAATATACTCTAAATTCTGTAAGAGCACATTTTTACTGAAAGTGCTTTCTGCAAGTACTGAGATATTTAGAGGTATTTTCTACATTTATGAGGAATATAATAAATTCACACTTTAACTTGGAGGGGTTTTTCCCCTCTTTGCCTCAAAACATATAATGTATTTGATTTTACTTATTAAAATATTTATAAAGTGTATATATTCAGCATTATAAAATTTCAAACACATTAGAACTACAAAATACTAGCTCAAAAGTACAAATAAAATTGATTTAATTGCACCTAGAACAATTAAAGTACCCTAGTATTGCTCTAGCGCACCTTATTACTTACCATATTATGATGCTGTCATACGTAAAACCTAGCTTTTCTTCAGCATGGCCAGTACTACAAAGAAGCTGAAAATAAAAGAAAACATCTATTACTTGTATGTCTTTAAAAATTACTATGTAAAATTGAAGATTTCTGGCAAATCTTTCAAAGAAAGCTGAGGAATTTCATTCATGGCAAGGGGAAACTTATCAACTTCAGACTTCCCTGAGAATTTCTACTGTCAGTATTCTATGCCTATATATGCCAGACACACACAAATCTGTGGCCTCTCATACTAGAAAAAAGCTTGCACAATTGTGTAAGCTGCCTACTGATCAATTTTTCAACTCCAGGTTGCTCCTCTTGCTGCCTTTAAGCTCTTTTCAGAAGAGCCATTAGTTAGCAATCCCTAACCTGAGCAGAGACAAATTGACTGAAGTCAAAGCACATCTGCATTCAAAAAGAGGGCTTGGGTGAGAGTTTTAAAGCAAAGATTGACACTGATGGTCCACTGTCATGTTTTGCCACAGCAGCACAGGTAGAAAAAAAGGCACTGCCAAGTGTCCCGTAATTGACATTTGGCCTGGCCTGCCATCGATTCCATAGAATTTGTACCTCTGAAAAAATCAGTGCAAAGGTTGAATGTATGCACACAAAAAGACACCAATAAACTGTCCCAAATGCTGAACATGTCAACCATATCTGTCTGTTTTGAGCACAAGACTGAAAATTTACAAGTGCAGTTTTTACATCCAAAACCAATCTCCAAAGGAGCAATCTAGTGCGTGCCTATGTTTTGGCCTCCTGAGAAAAGGAAAACGGTCTCTTCTATAAGAAGAGCTGATGCTGTTCTCCTTTGCAAGAGCCACAAAGAAATTCCTAGTAACCTCATGTACTACTCATAGCTAAAATTATAACATACTTTAATATTATGTCCAAATCCCAAAGCACTTTTCCAAGCACTTCTAAAAACTCAAGTGACTAATACTGATTGCAATAGCTTTACACTTTGTCCTTTTTGAAAGAGGTTCAGTTTTGCGTTCAGTTCTGAGCCAGTGCGTTATTAACAGTTTCTCCTCAGTGAGGAATTCAGGAAGCGTTTGTGCCAATTAGTGAATATCCCTGTTCTAAAATTATTAAAACATATCAAACTCTGTGCCACGTTCATGTTCTGTGCCAAGTGCAAAGTCCTGCACCTGGGTTGGGGCAATCCCCGGTATCAGTACAGGCTGGGGGATGAAGGGATTGAGAGCAGCTCTGCCAAGAAGGACTTGGGGGTACTGATGGAGGGAAAGCTGGACATGAGCCAGCAATGTGCTCTCGCAGCCCAGAAAGCCAACCGTATCCTGGGCTGCATCAAAAGAAGCGTAGCCAGCAGGTTGAGGGAGGTGATTCTGCCCCTGTACTCTGCTCTGGTGAGACCCCACCTGGAGTACTGCGTCCAGCTCTGGAGTCCTCAGTACAAGAAGGACATGGACCTGTTGGAGAGGGTCCAGAGGAGGGCCACAAAAATGATCAGAGGGCTGGAACACCTCTGCTATGAGGAAAGGCTGAAAGAGCTAGGGCTGTTCAGCCTGGAGAAGAGAAGGCTGCGGGGAGACCTTATTGCGGCCTTTCAATACTTAAAGGGGGCTTATAAGAAAGATGGGGACAGACTTTTTAGCAGGGCCTGTAGCGATAGGG